AGAGAAGTTGTTGACAACCCATCTGTGGGAGTTTTCAAGGCCAGGCTGTAAGCAGCTCTAAGCAACCTGGTCTAGTGGGAGGTGTCCCTACCCATGGTAGGGGTTTTGGAACTTTAATGTCCCTTCCAACCCAACCCATTCCATGAGCCTACGAAGACCCATGACTTAACATAAGGACACCAAAAATAGGAAATAAATCCAGAAGTTCACGTATATATTGTCTTTGTGAAACAAACAAACAAACAAACAAACAAAAAAAAAATGACTGTATTTGAAAATGATTGTTTTATGATGTTTTCTATATCAAAACAAACATTTTTCTGTTTTCAGGAAAAAAATTACTACAGCACATTCAAAAAGGCCACCTATTGGTTCTAATAAGAATGTATTTTTTAGTCTCAGCATCATTCAGAAACCAGAATTTTTTTAACCCCCACACAAGCAGCACAAAGTTTTTATCATGGATTTCAACTGAATGAGTACTTGATACATCGTAACCACTTTTACTGTGAAATTTGCATTTAGATTTGCACAAAGACTAAATCAGCCCTCTGGTATTGTTCTAAGTAACAAAATATCTGAAGCAAATACATTTTTGTTCAGAAGGCCTAACTGTGGTGATTTTTTCTGCATATTTTTTCCTTGTTTTCTGAATAACCCTCAAGGAATAAAAATAGTGTAAGAATCTGACAAAATATTCATCTCATCTGATGACTGTTTTCTTAGCTACAAGTGAAAAAAAGGGAAAAAAAAAAGAAAAAAAAAAGGAGGCGATACTAGAAGTAATTTTGCAGTCACTCAAAATCATGGGTATCACAGAAAAGTTCTACCACTAACACATATTTTAAATATAACCATGGGAAGAAATCAGAGAACATGCAAATACTTGTAATTACAGTATCCATTTAAACTTTAAAATGTTTTTTATTGCTGTTTGAAATAATTCTAAACTCAGACATATGCTGGCACATTTAACATGGAAATTAGATGTGCCTGATCAACATTTTAACAAGAGGAACATTTGGACAAAACCTATAACTGCAGCAGTACCTGGGCGGTTTGCTGCTCCTGATCATCAGAAAAGCAAAGATAAACTGAGTGAGACAATGGTTGACTTGGGTGTATTGTCATAAACAATAAATTATTCCCTGCCTTTTGGAAAATATGAGATAATTGACATGTGTCAAGATTTTTTAATGTATCAGGAGACAGTAAGACAAAAGACATTCTTTGAAGGAGAACAATCTAATTGCAATCTATTGCTCTGATTTTTTTTGTTTTGTTTTGTTTTTACATCAAGAAGATCAAAGCTATGATCCAGATTATTGGCCCAAATTTAGGACTGAATACATTTTAGTGCCAGGTGTCATAAATTATTCCTACACAATGATGGACATCAAGGCCAACATGTATATGGTCAAAGATGTCCAGAGGATAAAAGCCACATACTCCTTATTAGCTGTGGGGTTTTTTTTAATCTGCATTTGACTTTACAGTCTTTGCAAACAATTGTGGTTTTACTGTCCATACACGTTTTATGACTTTTCCCTTCTCCTCACAGCAGCAAATGGTGGATCTAAGCAATTGTGAAGAGGAAATGTTCAAGCGCCAAATGGCATAAAGCAAGGAAAAAATGAGAAAAGGAAAAACACTCCTCCATTTCTGCATGCCATTTATCACAAGAGCAGGTAAACACTTAGCATGTAGAAATATGAGGCCTCATGAAAACCTTTTAATGTCATTGCTAACAACTGTATTCACTACCAGGGCAGTCATTAACAGGTTGCCAGGAGAGAAAATATAAGCCCCTAGACTGTTTCCATACAGACTGCACGCAATGTTATTACTACCACATCAATGCCAAGAAATGATAATGGGATGAGGGCACTCCCCAGCCAGGCACCACGAAAAACTGAACTGAGAGGTTGTCACAAAGCAGCAGACAAAGGGACTTTTCTGTTTATTGTCTTTGTACTGGGGAACTTGAGGCATATAATGTGCAGTCACCCTCGCCATGGCTGCATGGAGCAGCCATGTCCTTGTCCTTGGATCTCCCACCCCCTTAGACATCCTTTTCCCCATGAGGGAGGGTGTCACATCCAGGCTGTGAGGGTGTCACAGTACCTGTCGTTACAGGTACCTCCCAGTCCTGCCTTCCCCAGGATCATGAACCAAACCCTTCTTTTCCTAAATTCCTCCAGCTCTTGGCAACCCAGACCCTGTTCCCAGAGCCTCTGACACTGGCTCCTGGGGGGTCCCTCTGAAGGTCGGCCCCAGAGGCAGCAAGGCCCATGGTGACAGCGCAGACCAGTCTTCCAGGCACTTTCCCTTTCCACCACCCCAGGGCTGCCTTTGTAGCGTTTCCATTGCCACGGGAAAAGCTGGGAAAAGCCCACTCTGGTGCCTGTGCTGTCCAGGATACATCCCTCTTCTCCCTCCCTTGCTCTGCTCCATCCATGAATACATTTCTCCTTTTTTTTCTCTCTGTATTTTTTTTCCTCTTTCCCATTACCCCTTTAATGCAGAGCAGGGCTGCTGATTACAAAAGAGGCAGTTTGACTTGAGCAATAGGTCTTCTTCACTAATCCTCACTGTCATGGAAATTCCAGCTGCTACAAGAATAAGAGGCTCAATCCATATTTGCCAGCTCTAATATGAAATCTGTCAGGGCCCAAATTAATGAGTTCCAAATTCCTTACATCACGATAACAGGTTAAGACTGGTCAATTAATTACATAAATCCTTCCCGATTCATTGTGCATTTTCAGGCGAGATTGTGTCTTACATAACTGGGTGACACAAGGCCTTTTGGCTCTCGCTGTTCCGCAGAGAGGCCTCCATTTAACAGCAGCCTGCCTGCCACCCGCGCCGGCAAATGCCACACCTGGGCTCTGCGCGGGGCCCTAACTGCCTTTGTACAAAAATATAAATAAATTAATTGATCAGTAGTAACGAGTGCTTTCAAAATACGGCGGAGCCGTGCGGCTCGGTGCTCGGGGGGCGGCGGGGGCTGTCCCGTGGGGCGGCAGGTGATGCCCCCGCTATACCGGCTGCGCCCATCCCCGGCGCGGTGGGCGCCTCCCTGTTTCGCCGGCTGAGGAGCTGCGCGGCTGCGGGACGAGCTCAGGGATGGGGGGAGCCGGTGGGGAGCAGGAAAACCCAGAAATGACCCAAAAACGCTGGGCCGCCCCCGCCGCGCGCCGCGCACGCGGAGCGCGCTCCCGGCGGCCCCGCCCGGCGGCGCCTCCCGCTGGCGCACAGCGGCCCCTGGCGCCCGGCGGCGAGCGCGGAGCGGCGCGGGCGCGGCCCCTCCTTCCGCGGGGGCGGCAGGGAAGGAGGCAGGCAGGGAGGGAGGGATGGATGGAAGGAGGCAGGGAGGGAGGGAGAGAGGCAGGGAGCGCTGCGGCAGCGCGGGCGGCCGCCCCCGCCCCGGCTCCCCCTCCGCCGTTGCCAGGGGCTGCGGTTGCCACGAGTTACCGGATGAAGGCTGGGCGGCCCCGCTCGCTGAGCAGCGGGCGCGGGGCGGAGCGGGGCGGAGAGCGCGGCGGCGCCAGGTAAGGCTCGGCCCGCTCCGCTCCGCGGCCCCGGGGCAAGGCAGGGCGGCGCGCGAGGAAGGGCCGGGCCGGGCCGGGCGCAGCGGGGAGCGCGATCTGGGATGCTGCCGTCCTTTTCCCTTTCCCTCCCGTTGGTTGTTTTGGTATTTTCCCCCCTCTCCCCCTTTTTGAAGTCCTCCCGCCCGCTCGCCGCTCGTAGCGGCGGCGGAGCCCCGCGGGCCGCCGACAGCTGCGGCGGGCGCACACGCACCCACGGCCGCGGCCGCGGAGCGAACACGGGCGCCCCGCTCGCCAAAAGCGAGCCCGAAGGCCACCGCTCGATTTCTGTTTTACAAGGCCACTTGAGTTCATTTCCAAGGAGGCAAAGAAGCGACTTGACCCGTTATGGTGCATTTTGAACAGCGAAGCGGAGAGTAATTGTGTAATAATTTCCTAAAGCGTTTAGGCCTTTCCTGAAAAGAACCAACCTGAGACTGGAAATTATTATTTACATTTTTGCCACCTGGTAAAAGCTAGGGAAGAAAAGTAAAGCCCCCGGTCCTTAGCCCTGAGCCTAGTCCTGCAATTACAGGGAAACGACATAGGACCATACAAGGTTTATTCTTCTTATCCATACCGTGTATAACAGAGCAAGTCACAAACATTTTTTGTTTTAATAATTCATTGTAATTATATAAAACTTAAATATTAATCAGGAAAACAAATTCAGTATGTCAGCTGTCAAAAAAATACGCGGACACTGAAGTTTGCACAGTTCTACAGTGTGGGATTTAGAATGTAAATTTCCCTCCATGCTTATAGAAATACACTGCGATGTAAACAACGATTTTCACTCCAAATACACCATCTTTGTGGAGTTTCTTTGCTATTCTTTTTGTAGAAAATATAAAGAAGTGAAAACCCAAACACAACAGGGTGTGTGTGTGTATACACAATGTGTATATATATCCACACATATATATATACCATATATATATATGTATACATATATTTATGTATATATACACACATTACAAAAATAACTGAAGATTAAATTACACATGGTAAGTCATAAAGTGATTAGGATATTGATATTGAAATAAAGGAAACCTCACTGTCAGGTTTAAACATGAGCTAGAAAGTAGTAACTTGTTTTATTTAATTACTTAAAAGCTTTTAAGAAATCATCATAAAAATGAGGATGTAAAGCTATAAGCAAAAGAGGAAAAAAAGCTTTTGAATGCAGAATTATAGCAATTAGGTATAATGTAATCTGATTACTACTTCTAATTTATAAATTAGGTATTATCCTGTTTAAAAAAAAAAAAGCAAGCAGGAAATGTCAGCATTGTTCAAAACTAAAAAATGAGAATCAAAGTACCAGTGACAACTGATCAAACTGTGTGTCATAGTGCTGAAAAATTACCAAATCATTAAAGTAAAAAAAGACATTAAAATTATTTTTTAACATTTACATTTGTAAAAGTTACATTTAATGTTCCAATGAAACAAAATGCCTTAAAGCCTTTATATGTGATTATATACAGTTGATATATAAAGGAGACATACTAGAGAGCATGGAGTACTTTCCCTCCCCCATTATGAAGTAAAATTCTAGTAACACCAGCTACACAAACAATATTCAAAAGATAAATATTTGAACAAATTTCTGTCAAAGCTGAGAAGAAAGTTATAGTAGTCTTAGATTTTTTTTAACAGAATGACAAAATAAGAGAATAACAAGAGGGCTATTAGAAAACAAATATTTATTTCAGAAACATCTTCATCTGGAAAATACTCGCTGGCATACTGATAAGCTCCTAGAATTAAAAAACACAATTACCCACAAAGGCTCTCCAAACCTTGTGTTTCTGTAATTTTTGCCAGGTACTGAGGACGTGTTAGTAAGCCAGAACTATAAACTGCTTCAAGAATTTAGCTCAAACTTTTGAAATAAAAGAAAAACCTACATTGTCTTAAATAAAAATGGTAATATTCTTCTCAACATTATTCCAGGTTTTCTTTTTAAATCCTTCCCACCTTTTAAATAAATTTACTAAACAATTTTTTTAAATGTGCCATCTTAATAATAAAAAAAAAAAAATCAAGTAATCAAAATCTCTGACTGGCAGTAACAGCTATTTTTAAGCTGCTTTTAGTGATAACTTGTTGCTTTAAGTTACCACTTCTACATTAAAAATAGCATTGCTGCTAACTCACATAGAAGCTGAGATGGTGAGTAGATACATTTGTGCAATTCAGTAAGACCAAGCAAAAAGAAACAAACATATTTATCTCACAAAGTGCTACCATCAACAAAATACAGTGGCTTAAAGTAGTTACCTAAGAGATGTTATTCTCAGGCTACTAAAACCTGTTTCTAAAATTACACAGATTCCCAGCTGGATGCTTTAAAAGAAAAAAAAAAACATGTCCACACATGTTTATGCTACCCCTTACTAGCTGTCTATTTAATAATCTATTGTTTCTGTAATTCACAGGTTTAAAATGCCCCTTCATTGAAAGTAACCACAGTTTTCTTTAAAAAGAAAAGGAAAAAAAAATTCAAAAACAAAAACCAAAAAAAAAGGGGCACGTATTTACATCCATTTCTAGGCTCGTAGCTACTGCACTGAAGTTAAAGGGAGCTTTGCTAGGGTGATCAGACCCCCTAGCTCTTTTTAATAGCAGTTAAATGTCAAATATAAATACAACACCACAGTGAAACATACTCCTTTGACAGGATCTGGGACAAGACACTACACAGCTGCTGTGAACAATAAAGAGCAAAACTGACGCTTAATCAAAATAAGTGTTGGTGGTTAAGAATTGTGTTCAAGCCTGCCTTCTGTTTGTGAAAAAAAGCCAATATTCCAACGTGGTGACTACAGCCACAATGAAATCAGCAGCTCCTGTTGCACATGGAGAGTGGAGAGGGCCACATCCATGCAGGGTGTTCCAGCTGTGTGATTATCATCATCTCACAGAGGGGGACACTCCCCACTTCAGCTGCTGAACTAAAACACCTCTACCAGCACCTTCAAACATAGATACCGAAAGTTAAACATGTTGGGTGAAATCCTGGCCCTAGCGAGGTCAGTGCAAAATTCAGCCATTGGTTTGGATGGACCTCATCCAGGATTTTCACTGGGAATGAGTGTCCATAGTTCCCTGGGAGCTGAGAATCTCCAGCAAGCCTAGAAATGATGTAATTTTTATTTATATTTCTAAACTTCTAAGCAACCATGCTCAAGAATTTTTGCCTTCAGTACTTACGCATGATAAAACCAGTCTTTCCATAAACATTACAGAAGGACCAGAGGAAGATGTATTTATATCTCAAATTGTCAGCAGCATATAGTTTGTACGAATGTTGTTTTGCTGATGTTGCTGAGCTACTTTAAAAAGTGAGTACCTTGGTGGGGTGTGTAATTTCATCACCAATGTCAAATGACTTCTAAAGATGAAACTTCTCTGATGCAAATGACTAAAAGATGCTTTGAATATGTTTGATATGATATATACCAACTTTTAAGGTGAGGAATTAAGTTATCTTTATTTTTCAAATCCAAGACATGCACTCACTGAAGGAATTATTTAAACTGCCACATATGTCAGAAGAGCATGACTTACCCAATACTGAGATTTTTATAGTCACAAAAACATAAATAGGTGGCATGTAGACCTACACCAAGATACATGAACAAAAAATCACCAAAAAGATAGTATCAAGGTCTGTTTTGAGTATTTTGTAAGGACACATGGTTGCATTAACAATGGGTCTTTTAGGTACACGTTACCAGACAGCCCTGCTTGTATGGTACATATAACCAGTAAACAAAGCAGAAACTGCTCTGTACTGTCCTTAAGGGTGCAATACAGGAATGATTTTTCATGATTCTTCAGAAGCTGGGCTTGCTTTACATCCACATGAAATGCTGTCATCACTAGGTCCGAGCCCGGAGGATGAACTGCAGAAAAGGGGAGAGGGGGGAGGAAAAAAAAAAATAAAAGGAGGAAATTGGTTTTCACAACACACTCAAAGCCTGAGTAACAGAGGAGAACTTTAATTATCTCCAGTCACAAAGAGAGACAGGAAATTTGGACTTTTAATTAGCCATTTGGAGTGCAGTTGGATATTTTTTTAGCAAGATAATTTAAACGCGAATAATTCAAGTCTGACTAAATGAAATTCACATAATCAGAATGCAGATAATTGAATTTCTACTGCATTCATTAATTCAGTGTGGAGGTGTGTGTGAAGACTTCTATGATGAGCTGTCACAGCTCAATAAAATCTCAGTCAATTAATTTTTTCATTATCTTAGTATTACATCAACAAAAAAGTGAAGCATGTGCGCGTGTATGTATGGATATATAATCTCAGAAAGTAAGGATATACAGAAATCACCTCTCTGAATCAGAGTCTGCATCGTTTTTTCCTTTTTTTTCCTCTTCATCTTCTATAGGGAAACGTCTGTTCAGAGAGGCGAAACTGAGAATCGCATCAGCAACAGAGAATTTGGTCTGTCCAGAGACACAGGCCTCCATGTCTTCTGGGCTTAGCTGAGTCTGTAGGAAGAGGTGAAGCCTACTATCTGACAGCAATAATGCATCTTGTAGGATCCTGGATAAGGAAAAAAAGGCAAATGTTTATATATAACCTGCACACACACACACACACACATATATAAGCATATATTCTAAAGTGTTTTCCCAGAACAAATTCTAAATGATGTCCCGCTTTTAAAGTTTTCAGATGAATCCTAAATGAGTAACAGAAGGCAATGAACATATTAAAATGATTAGGTGCGTGTTACTTTCTTATTACATTATTTGGAATTTTAGGTGAGTAAAAACATGAAGCTAATAGTTAGGCACATCTGCTATTAGAATAACTTCAAGGACATTTCTTCCATTTAACCATCTGCTATTACCACATGGATCAATTAATGATTTTTAGGCAGTTAGAGGCATATACTCTTACAAAAATTTGGTCTCTCTCTTTTTTTAAATAGCCAAGCTTTTATAAAAATTACGAGTCACCGATTTGTTTGGTGGAGTGAAGAAGTGTGTAAGAGTGTGTAGGCAGAACAAACTTCATACATGTGCAACATTAGGACTTTGGAATACCTGTTAGCAACTGAGCCAACACTAGCCAAAATTATTTACACTGTTGCACTGGTTTTAATTTACTTGCAGATGCTTTTCAGGGACTCTTAAATTTTATTTAATTCCAGCTATTATTTTCAAAAATAGGTTTTAAAATTTGGTTCATATATATTTTAAATTAAGCCTCCAAATAAATTTAGCAAAGAGTATTTACTTAAAACACATGAAAGTAAAGAAAATACAAAACATTCCATTAACACAGAAAGTTGTAGAGAGACTTTTCCAAGGCCTGAGAATTGAGGATCATTGTCTCTATTTTTAAAGAAAAGATACACAACTTTTCTTCAACATTTCTTTAAAGAAGGAATTCTTTACTATACAAATCCTAGAATGATTAACAAGAAACTTCTTCAATTTGTGTGTATTGTAATAAAGACATCAGAGGCTATGACCACACCAAAGAATGCTCCACAGAAAATTATTAAAATATCTTTAAACTTCTCAAAGCTACTCAGACTCAATACTTACCTATTTATACCCATTTAGGCTACAGTTTTTACCAAAAAAGTCATTGCTGTGCAACAGGAAACAAGAGATGACATTAATGTAAGAACTAGTAAGAGCAGGAAGAAATATTGCATTTTAAAGGTACTCTGACTAAAATGAAAAGTGTAACTGATTAGTTCCTTCTCTTGAATAAGATTAATGGTGTGTTTGGACTGTAACGTTTTAAACACAAATACGTTCTGAAAACTGTTCTCTAAAGCGGCCAAGATTACAATAACATTTAATAAACACACAAAAGGATTTCTGGCTTCATTCAAGCCCATAAAAATCTGTCAAATTAAAATAAGTAGTACGAGATATCTACATGAAACCACGAGATACTTGTGTGCATGCACATTTCACTTGCCTAGGTGAACACGCAGTCTCAACCAAATAACTCCAACTCTGACACCTTCCAATGAGGAAATGTCTCCAACGACCCTAATGATCTACCAGCTGTGTGGGAGAAATTGAGTCTCAGAAAGACCAGATTTTGCTGAAGTTCAAAACAAGCACACTTTCACACACAGAGAAAGCCTTTTTAATCCAATCCGAATTCTCACAATTTTAATAGCAAATAGACATCTGTAAAATCAGTGTGGGTAATGTATTAATAGACAGAAAAACTTCTTTGTAGTCTAAAATCCAGCAAAGGCTGTGTAAAATTGATTCAAAACAGAATTTACAGGTCCACACACCTTGACAGCAGCAGCTTCATGATTACAGTTTGAAAAGCCATCATTCAGCAGCCACTAAAAGAGGATTTCAGCCTTGACTCTTGATCAAAACGCACATTCCAAACAAAGACAAACATTGCAACAAAAAGTAGAGGTATCATTCCGAACAATAAATCCACTTTTATAGTTTATTCAATCGGGAGAGTAAATATTCTACTTCTCTTAAAAAAAAAAAAAAAAAAAAAAAAAAAAAAAAAAACCAAACTAAAAACAAAAAGAAGAAAACCAAAAGAAAAATAATGTGCCTGAGTTTCCTGTAGAGTAACTACAGTTACTGTTTTTCCCAGGCACAGTGAGGAGATGCACATTTCTGCAATTCTAACATTTGCGTGTCTAATGCCAAGTAACACAGCAAAAAGCCAAGTCATTAAATTCTTTGAATGGCATTTAGTTTCACAGATTTTCCTCTTGCTGTACCTTCAGAAGTTTCCTGCCAACCAGTGAAAACACGAGTAACTAAGTGTTCATGAGATTACACTACACTTACAGCTCTGTTGCTGTTTGAAATGTATTTTATTTTCTTTATAAAATAACGGGTAATCTTTAAAATTGATTTTAGATGGTTTGAGGCATTACACCAGAGAAGTAATGAGCACTAATGTCAATGATATTGGACACAAATTCATTTTAGCTTTATTTCATGTCCAGTACAATTCTGCTAAGCCTTGAACTGCTAAAGCACTGTTATTAACTCGGCAGTAACCTAACACATGGAACAGCAAACAAAAGTGATAAGAGTACAGACTGATCAGGACCTCAAGGCTACTGTCCTTTTTCTGCAGCTATAATTCAATTTCCAATTTTACTTTACATTGGACTCATTATTTCACAGTAATTTTCTTTTCTGCTTCATAGTGCCATCTGGAGGTGAAGGGAGTGAAGAGAAACCAAGGTGCAGAAATGGAAAGATGTTCATAAAGCTAATCACACCCACACTCATATATGTACATGTGTGTGTTCACTATGTGTTCACATTGAAATACCCAATGCATTTTGCAAGTCATTTAAAACCATCCTGAAAGCAGATATACAAATACCTTTTACCTGGGTGTACCCTCAAAGAATTTCTGTTTTCTCTTAATTAAAAAAATAACTGCTGCTTTTCCCACCCCCTCTGAACCAACAGGTTAGACTGCTTTTTAATTGCAAGCTTCAAGCAATCAAAATGTAAAATAAATGTGTGTAAAACACCCGTAAGTGTTATGCTTTTCCGTTCAAAATACTCTTTCTTCAAGGGAATACCCACACATTTGTCACCAGATGGTACCAGTAGTATTTAGTGCTGCTATAGCAGTTGCTTTCTGAGGGATTTTGCTGTCCTGGGGGCTCACTGTGTGAAGGGCTTGACATTTAAAAAGTAGACTTGGCTTCAAGGACTTAAAAAATGAAAATTACAAACCACCAGCTAACAAATTAAAAAGGCAGGAGGAAGGGAGGAGCATCACAACATCAATGCTCGGGTGTCTTCACGGAGGCTGGACACGTGCGCAGTCGCGGCACAGCAGGCAGCGCTCCCAGCGCTGCTTCTGCACTTTCCCTGCAGCCAGTGCCAGGCAGGGCTGTGCTCACAGTGACGGAAATCAGCGCTACCGGGAGAGTCACGGCTCATGGTAATCATTCCTATAAACTGACTGGGCACACTGAAGAGAACAACAGACCTTCTATGCACGCCTGCAAGAAGAACGAAAGGGTAAACCCTGCAAGTCTTGATCCCATCAGTAGTCATTACTTGTCAGAGATTTCACTCCTCTTGGCCAGACTGCTCACATGCATAATGACTACTTATGTGATTAAGGGGGCTGCAAGATAAGGCTCTACATTAGAATTAGAGATAATAAAGTAATTTTTTATTCACAGCCATGTGAATCTTTGTTTGTAAGCTTTCAGTAAATGCTCGTGATCTCTAGACCTTTAAAGAAGCAAGACTGAAAAACATCACAAGCAGAAGAAATAATGTCATTTTTTAGGAAATGCTGAATACTATGTGAGGAATATTTCTCTTTTCCTGTGTTATGGCAAAAATATTTACAAAAGAAAAAAGCGTGTGTTTTTTGTTATTTGGACAAGGTCCAAAATCTGGTTTTCTTCACCATGATTTTATTATGTATATTATACACTGTTCTGCTGGAGAAAAACAACATATGGCTGAACAGTACAACTTAATCCTAACTAAAGATTTCCTGTATCTACTGTAACCTAATACAATGACAGATGCATACTTGAATGTGTGTGGAAGGTTAACACTCCGATTTTGTTTTCGACAAATTTACTCTGCCCATTTATATCAGCTCACGAGAGCAAGGGAAAAACCCAAGGAGCTGAGAGACGGATGACAGCCTGTGCTGTGGTGCCCTCTACTGAGCATCCAGCCTCTCATCCCCAGCCCACACCAAACAAAGCCCCAGTTTCCTCTTTAAAAAAAAAATGACTTGTGTTTCCTCATTCACTTTTTATATGGGAGGAAATGTTACTGATATCAAGCAACTGTGAAGCAACTGTTGGGTATGTGATAATGTGTGTGGTTAGGAGAAGATTAAGCCACGTGTGCCTGCTACACATTATTCTCTCACCAGATAGGAAATAGAAGCAAGGCTCCACTGGAGAGAGGGAACTTGCCCAAGGTGGTTCCACTGCCCCACCCTGCCAATGCTCCTGCCTGAGCCGCTGGCAGGGGCAAGCTGGCATCCATCCCTTTAGGAGCCAGTCTCCCGCTTTCACATCCCTGAGACAGCACCCACTGGAGACACCTCCAGAAGAGACCTCTGACCCTGCACCAGCTGCAGCTCATGGGACTGTAGTGGAAAAGGCAAGGAGGTGCCTGACACCTTCAGAAAATGGCTCTGCCTTAGGCAGATGAATTTTGGGTGGCTTCCTCACCCTGGCACCCAGCAAGCCCAATACATGGCCTTCTACAGCAGCAACACTGTGGATGCCCTGTATTCCCTGTGAATCCATGCATTTTGTTTCTCAAAATTCACAGTGTCTCCCACTCCATCATAAACTGCATGTCTGAAAAGTAATTGAAGAGTAATCCTTCTCCGTAAATCATGCAAGTTTTTGGGATCCGACTATATTCAGTAAAAAAAGAAAAGTCATCAACTGAACCCAACTTCATTCAAAATGGCTTTGTTAATTTGTTTTCTCATGAGCAAACCCACTTGATCTTCTCTGAGGGTAATCTAATTTCCAAAGTTAGACCTGCACAGCTACAAATGGATGAAAGCAAAGAGGATCTTGCAGAAGCTAAAATTATAAGATAATGTTTTAATTTTGACCTCTGGTTTAAGAATAAACTTTTCTGTGAATTCACAGGCATCCTCAAAGCATGAGGATACTTAGTAGGAAAAACACATAATTTTCCTTATTCTTACAAAGTAATTCATAATTGAAAAGGGGCTAGCTGACTTCCGTTAATGCAAATGGCCTCTTGAAATATTAAATTATGCCCAGACAAGAAGTGAGCTTTACAGCTCTTCATCACTCAGAGATAATAACCTGTAAGACAAGTAGATCTTGCACTGCATTTGTGCAGTAAAACCAAATCAAAATGGGACACCTGTTCCCAGATTTCACCAAAGTCTAGTCCTTAACTTCCCAGCTGTTGGCCTAATTCTTACGCTACTGTGCTCAGCACGGAGAGGCTTCACAAAAGCTCTAAGCACACACTGTGCCCTGTGCTAAATCACCCTGGAGTGGAAAGTGAGGACAACAGAGCTCTTTAGCCATCCACATACAGGCAATACGGAAGTGCTCCCAGGGCCCGAAGCTGAGCACCAGAGAGCCTCCAGCTGCTCAATCCTGGCTCCTCAGGCACATGGCTCCTGCACAGGCAGGCACTACAGCAATCTGGTCACACAGCACAGGGCACAAACCAAGACTTTGAAAGATCTAAACCCCCTCTTCAGAGATGTCCTGGATCCTGCTAACACCCGGGATTCCTGCATCACAGGCAGGCATTTAAAAATATTCCCTGTGAACCTCTCCCCAGACAGATCCACACAGGTTTGAATTGAATTTCTTCCCACTGCCACAAAGAAACACGAGTAGGATTGTGAGCTTGTCATTCCTGGGGTGAATGGAGCTCTCAGCTTAGCAGTTTTGGGTTAGGGTCCCCCCTTTCTAATGTATCAGAACGTGCAGCATCCAGACCCAGAGCTTCAGTAAATTCAAGTGTGTATATTATATGTAATATCTGTGTAACATATGTATATTGTACATATATGCATACTGTACATATAGAACATACATCTATACAGAATGCATGTGTATATTTTACATACATACATACATTATACCTATATATTATACATAGGTATACATATATTTTATACTAACTCTCATTAGGGAGTTCCACAAAATTCAATTTCAGAAGAAGAATCATAACCTTTGGTTCAGCGTCATAAATGGGGGTGGGGGAAAGCATCACGGCAGCTGATCCAATAGGAAGATGCCTGCTGTGAGGAGCAGCAGCAGCACAGCGGAGCCAGCCAGCAGAGGGCAATGGTACAGCACATACGGTGCCAGCACAGTGCACCTCAACACAACCTCTGAAAATTCCTTCCAACTGCTCCCCAGGGCTGAGAGAAAGCTGACACTTTTCTTGCACTCAAGTTCCAACATTTAAATCATTACCTTACAATTGAGTTTCCTCTTTTCCCACTCCTGGACTAACAGCAGCATGATGAAATGCTCCGCATGCTGTCATTTTCTGCTGTCATTATTCATTTAAACTACGGTCACCCACAAAATTGGAGCATGAGGATGTCTTTTAAGATAATCTACCTTTCTGTTTTGCCTTTTGAAGTGCAGACAGCAGTTGTAAACATTCCTGCTGCTGACATACCTTGTTACCAGACTGGCCTCTTTCAAAATGAGAGTGTTTTTTGAAATGCACTGCTCCAAGGGGGAGCACAGCTAAGACAGAACTGCTCAGACACTGGAACCTGAGCTACCACACTCTTCATATTATCACTGACATGCTTCTAGGAGCACAGCCCTTCCATTTCACTGCTTTTCTTTCCTGAGGTGTAAAAATACCCTCTAATCCTTTTCTGCTTTCTCTTCCCTGTCTCACATGCCTTCAGCCAGTATTTATTGGCTGACCTTTTGGCCACAGATCCTATATAACTGCATGCAGAATATTATTCCTGCAGCAGTTAGCTGTCCCTGCCTTCAGCTGCTAAGCCTAACAAATATACCTCGGGACCAATGATTTGTTGTCTATTAGGGAGGCTTATAATACACTGACTGGAAAGAAGATGAATAGTCTCTACTTGCAGTGTTTCACCATACCCTTACCCTGAGCAGCAGCTAAAGACAGCCAGAGGCACACACAGCTCCTGCTCCAGCAGCTGTGAGCAGCCTGCTCTCACATCAGCAGTGCCAGGGCATGACAAGAATGGCAGAGAAAAAGCAGAAAATTACACCAACAGGGGTTCAGCCTCTGCAGAAGGTGAAGTGGTCATAGCAGTGGGATTGAGGGATGCAGTACTGGAACTCAAACACTACTCCCTTGTAATGCAGGTCAGGGTCTAGCTAAACCTGATGAATGATTTTATACAGATTGCAGCTGCACTGAAAATGGTCACAGCTGCTAGAGCTTGCTTATGCTAGTGGGACTGGTAAACAAAGCAATTTGCATTATAGGGAAGCTCTGTGTTAGGAGATCTCACTAGAGAATTCTCCCAGGCTCACAGGGGTTTAGCCCACAAAGACACTGATTTTCCATGAACATAAACGGGGGGGCTTTCTTTGTACAACAATATCCAGCTCCTTACTGAAAGCTAGAAATAGACATCACAGTGAAAGATCTCCCAAACTTAGTATGCAATTGCAAAGTGATTTAAATTTAAGCCTATTATCTATAATCAGTGCAATGAAACACAATGGAAGAGAGCCAGCTGAAGCCTCCTTATAACCAACCAATAGAGCTGAAGTCACGTGTATGAATTATGACAGTGCAAGTAAAAAAATATAACTAAACGTGTAGCATGTACAGATGACCACATGGTGGCTCTCAAGTACCAGAGATGAGCTATTTTAAACCAGAAATTGATGACCTCATAAAAATTCCAACACCTCTGGATAGGCTGTACTCACTTTTCCAGGAATTCTTGCAGACCCTGACGGCGATGGTCCACGTGATTAGGATTGTTCATATTGAAAAAGGGAGTTTTGGATGGCAGTTCAGGTAGCTGTCTTTATAAACAGGAAAAAAATACACAGTTAAAACCAAATGTGAAACAGCAGAGAAAAATGCAGAAAGCAAATGCTAACGCCAAGCATGTTATGGGTTATGTTTCAGAAGCTCTTGAAATCAATTTGGGAACACAAGGTTGAGAAACTGAAGGGCTTCTCACACACCTCAAAGGGGAAAAGTAAATTAATCTGATTTTTCTGGTCCAGTTGTTAAGTCTGCATCCATGTCTGGCTGGGTCTCTTATGGTGCTTGCAAAACCTAAACTTATCGAAGAAGAAAAAGAGGAGGTACAAACACCTACACTAGATTGTTATTTCTGCTACTCGTGCATAGCTAAAGAAAATACAGATCAAGTCTCTTACAAATTAGAAGGGGATTCACCAAAAAAATGCTGTAAGTACAAACCACATTCTTCTGGATTTAAAGCACATAAAATGCATTCTACAGAATAAACCTGTGCTAGTAAGAAACACAGGATACTTTCAAGATCTGATTTCTGTACTTCTCTGAATTACGATTAAACAATCCTTCCCTCCATGACAGATTATTAAACAGCCACATATAAAGTTGCTCACATAAGCACTGCATTGCTCTGAAGCCTCTGTCGGAGCCAAACAAATTCTCGATAGCGTCGTCTAACACAGGATGTTTTCCTTGTAAAGCATATACTGTTTGTCTGTTGGGAAATAAAAAACATTTAATTTGCAAATCAGCTTAAGCTAAAGCGCAGGCATGGTATTAGCAACATATCCAAAATGTTATACTAATGCCCCAGACACCAATGGAAAGCTTGACATTAATTCAGTTTATGTTAAGGACTGTGCTTTACCTCAGGCAGGACTGGTGACAGTTTCTATTGCTTCTCAGGGAAATATTTTTCATTGCTTTCTTTTTAAGAGATTTGAATTAAAGTACAACTTACAGTAACAGGAAAAATACACCTCAGAAAAAAGTTTCAGCAGATAATGCCAATCTTTGCAGGGGAAAAAGATTCTAGCTATTCTAGTTACAATCCTGCAAACAGGTACATAGACTTTTTCCAGTGTGCAGTCCCAACTTAAATCAAACCAAAGAAACCAATGTGACTGCTCTCTGCAAGTAGCACCATTTGGAAATTTTCCCACAGAACACTATTAGTTCACTAGGAAAATGCCAATTCATCAAAAGAGAAACTATTTGTGGAAATTAAATACTTTTGCCAAATTTTCCCACGGAGCATACATTTAGATGAAATCCCATATACCAGACAGGACTCCATTAGTAAACTGCCTGCAGTCCAGCCCACCCTTCCTGCCTGCCAGGAGCTGTAAGTCCAGCCAGCCACAAGATGCAGACTGTAGAGAGCACAAAGATGTCAGCCTCCTGGAACAGAGGAGCACACCCAGGATACCACACAGTTTAAGAAGACAAATGTTCTAAGAGCTGGGTAGAAGGGGAACTTAACTGGCTTAAAAGCCAGGCAGACACAATACGTGGAGTGCACTGAGAAGTCTGGATGGTAGGGCTGACCTAGGGACTTGGTCTCCTAAAGCCCTGCATTGAGGTGGCAGGAAAGTGAGTTGATGCTTAACAGCTTCAGAGATGCCGAGTGATGGATGATACATCACTGTATGCTGGCTTTGACTGGGGGAGAGTTAATTTCCTTCACAGTAGCTGGGGCTGTGTTTTGGATCTGTGCTGAAAACAGTGCTGGTCACACAGGGATGTTTTAGATACTGCTGAGCACTGCTTGCACAGAGGCAGGTCTTTTCTGCTCCTCACCCCAGCCCACCAGCAAGCAGGCTGGGGGTGATGGGAAACTGGGAGGAAACACAGCTGGGACAGCTGATCCCAACTGACCAAAGGGGTATTCCATACTGTATGGAATCATGCTCAGCAACAAACTAGGGTGGAGGCTGGCTGGGGACAACCACTGAGAGACTGGCTGGGCATTGCTTATCTGCTGCTGAGCATATGTTTTCGTTTGCATCACTTGTCTTTCTACAGTTTTATCTATTTTTCTTTTTTAATTTTTAAAATTTTCTTTATTATTTTCCTGTTATTATTACTATTTAATATTATTATTATTAATGTTTTTACTACATCTCAATTATTAAACTGTTCTTATCTCAGCCCATGAGTTTTCTATCTTTCACCCCCCCAGTTCTCCTCTCTCCATCTTGCTGGTGGGGCAGAGGGGATGTGAGCAAGCAGCTGTGTTGTGCTTAGTTGCTGGCTGGAGTTGAATGGAGACACATGGGGTCTAAACAACATCTCCCCAACTCAGCAGTCATTGAGAAAGCCTTAATACACTTTTATTCAGAGGCACTGATGTCTGTGAAACAGTAATACAGCACTCACCCTGCCAAATCTACAGAATTTCTATTTAGCAGAAATGAAAAATGTAATTACTTTGGAAGCGGTACTTGAAGCACATTGCAAATTTAAAAGTTTCACAACTCTGATTGCCACATAGGAGAGAAGTACTTATCACACAGACATTTAATAAGTCATCATTTGACTGCTTGCTCTCATACACTAACTGCTTAACTCTTCCACACAATAAGGAAATGCTTTTGGTCTTGTGCCAAGCATTAATCATGTAACTTGGTGTTCTCGAATACCTTTGTTTTACACTGCAATTAAAATCCTTGGATCTAGATTTGGCAAATTAGGATAATGCCTTCCATACGTCATCCACCAAAGAACAATCAAGAAAACAAAATTATGTATAGGACAGATTTATGGCACAAAAGCACCATAATGCCAAGTGCATTCCCATTAACATAGGGTGGACTACAATCACAAACCCAAACTTTACACATCCAAGCACCACTAAATTAGCATAATATGAATGTCAAGGTACAACTACATTGAAAACAACCACATTGCAGCAACCAATAACTTGGCAAAAAGAACAGAGGAGAATTTAAAGTACAAATAACCAGATAATTACTTGAAAAGGAAGTTATTTTCCCATGAATACCTGAACATCAACATTCTTCTACGACGGCAAGATATCACTGACTCTAAGTCTTCTAGTCGATAAGTAAAGCTAAGGATTGTCTGTTGCAAGGCACTGTGGAATGCACATGTGAACACATTAGGTTCAACCCACGCCAGCTCTGCCAGACCTATGAAATAGCCATTGGCAAACCCACTTTACCTGTTCCACTGCATCCCAGTTGTTAAAAAGAGAATAATAGCCTCCAGCATCTAAGAAGCAGAAATTCCATTTATATCCCAAAGACAACTGTGGCTTGGACAGAAACAGCAATAAGAACCTGAAGAATCTGTTCTCATATTTTTATACTTACGTGAATAAATATCTCATAGTCTATGTAAGAATGCCACGAGTCTTCTTTCTGTATCCTGGGGTCTCGCACCAAGACAGTTACAAATTCCTGTAAGTGCATAATAAAAATCAAGCAATTAATTTCAGAAGACAAACAGCCTTAAAGACTCTTGATTGTTCTGCTGTTCCACAAACTACTGAGTCAGATTAAAAGCTGAACTGCTGTTTTATTGAATTTTGCAACCCTATAAATGGAGAAGCATAAAGCAATGAATCATCTCAGCTACACCACATGTCTGGGAAAGTCCCTGCCAAACTGCTAGCTGAAAAGGAATATTTCAGATTAAGTAACACTGCGAAAAGTCATATATGTTTCATACATGGGAGATGAGATCTTGGCAGTGACAAACTGAAAATCTAACACTCAAAGTCACCCATGTAAAGGAGGAGGCAGGTATTTCAGGCTTTTCCCACATTTGTAATCAACACTGACAAAGAGCACAGCTGCACATGCAACACTGGGGCACTTCTGTTCCATCAACCTGCCCAAGCAACACAGCTACACTGCAGAGCAAAATTCCCCATTTTGAAGGGACAATCATATAGACTATTTGTTGTAGAAGCTGTCATATCTAGCTTACTTCGTTGTGATTTCTACATTTATATAATAATTTAGAAGGATCCCAAAAAAAAGAGAGAGAGCCTGTGGACGTTACTGTAATATAACACTAATAGGAATTGGAAGAGACTGAAAAATTAAATGTTTCTCAATACTCTCAGCTAATGATCAAAATTTTATTGTAGAAAAACAAAACCAAACCAAACCCCAAAATCCTGATAAATCTATATATTCATGTTAGGATAGAAAATATTCCTTAAAAATACAAAGCTCAAAAGTGTGCTTAAATACCTGCTACTTCTGGAGCACACGTAGAGGCTGCCCTACTCCAATTGCTTAAATAAGCTATTCACCCCAAAAGCTAAGCCAACCATTTAGCAAAGACTTAAAGAAAAGTGTATCACTTTAAGCTGTAGATATATTCCCCCTGAGAGGAAGGCACTGCACAAGATCTCCAGGTACAGGAATCAACTGTGGGAGGAATGACAGTGTCTCTGGTAAAAAAAACATGCTTTTTTTAGTGCATATTTGCATAAATCAAGAAATCTTGAACTAGAAAAGCTCTCAAAGTGTGTCTTCCTATGTCCAAACCAAAGACATCAGAAATAAAAGCTTTACTCTTCAGCCAAGTATTCTCCCCTAACACACTCTTGCATGTACCACCACTGCAAACCTTCAGTGGACTGACAGAACAACAGCAACCTTGAAGGGTGAAGATACACTTTTTCCTGAACAGCCATTGCACTCTGTAGTAGCAGGGAGACATTCAGTGTCTGGATGAAATAATTTTCCTTCCTGATTTCCAGGCGTTACTGAGATGGGGAGCCTGTGGCTTGATGGCTGGACACAGCTTTTAGCTTTATGTCACTTAGCCCAGCTCCTGGTGCCAGGGTTATTTTCTGTAAAACTGGTGGCTACCCTTCTGGTGAGTATCATGAACACCTTGCCAAATAAAGCACATTTGAAAGGCTCCTGCCACCTCTGCTGTTTCTTTCATCACTGAAGAGCACCAGAGGGCCAATCCTCCCCTGCAGCTTTTTAACCCCATGCCAGCATGACACAAGAGGAACAAATGATCAAACCTTTAATCATTTCTACCAGCTGAGGGTCATGCCTTTACTTTTACAAAAACACTAGTGGGACATATGAGGAAGTTATTTCTGCTCCAGAGAAGATATTCAGCAATGTGCTGAATACAAGAGAGGACACCATTTTTTGGGTTTTCTCCACCTGCCTCACTGTCTGTAATATTTACCATACACAGGTAGGTAGGTAGATAGATAGAGCAGACTTTCAGGCCCACTGTACCATCTTTTATGTCGCAAGTTTTTGTCTTCCCCAAATTCCTACTTCCCTGTGTCCCAATCTTCTCCAAAGCTGCAGTCACTTCCCAACATACTTTCTTTCTTTTGTTGAGCACTAAATGCATCAATCCTGCAAGTGGAAGAAGAGAAATTATGCTAAAAAGCTTCGAACAGGACACTGCATTCATCTTCCCTTCAACTGCTGCAGCACAGGAGTCACCACCTCAGGCAGCCTGCTTATAACCTGACCTCAGTCTCCTTCTTCTCATCTACTGCTGTATCTGCTTCTTGTTGACTTTCCTTTTGTCCAGGTTCCCCAAACTACCCCATTTCCAAATAACCTTCCATAACCTTCTCCTCGGTACAGAATCAAAACAGTCTTTCAAGTAAAACACTTCTTTCAAACCTTTATAGTACCACAGTATTGTGACTGAAAGCTGCTAATGGATATGCTGTTGATTAGCTACGGCTTACCTTGCAAATCATTCCAGACCACAAGATTTGCACTGGAAAACTTCTGTACCCTTTTAACTTGCAATTAACTAGTTGCTGAGTTTCAACAAGGAGGAAGTTAAAACCCTTCAGACTCTACCTACTAAAGAAATGTGACCTGCTCTATATGCCATGGCAGGAAGTGTCTAAGCAGTAAAGAACTGAGCCGAAAGGAAAAATGATGTGCAGAACAGCAGAGCACCTCAGCAAAATGCAGCCCTCAGACACAGTCACTGTCAGCTTTGATTTGAAACATCAGGATTTCAACAGATGACTGGGTGTTCCTTTTTTTTCCCCCTTATTACTGAAAACATGACAATACTGAGTTTGGAATGAAGCAAGATTAACAGTAAGCAACTAGAAATGAAAAATAAAAATGTACAGCCTTTCTCAAGATTTAAGGTTACTTCCCTTATTCATCTCTTGAATTCAGGAAGTGTTATTCCCATTACAGATTTTGCTGGTCTGAAACAGTGGCATTGCACATGTAGACTGTTCCTTGTCTTGACCTTTAAGTCTTCTCCAGAATACAAGATCCCACTGGGAAAACAGCACTGCTCTAATAAAAGCAGACCTTATCCCCAGTATAAGTGACGATCCACTGCCAGAAAAGTTGCCTATACTTTTGCATCCCTAGAGTAAAGTCAGTATTCACATACAGGCTATGTTATGGTCCAAGCAGAGTTAGGTGGCAGAATACTCAGTTCTCTGTGAGAATGGTGTTATACGCTCAGTCCATTCACTGGTCACAAACAATCAGGAGATTACAGCAATACTGGGTAATAACTGCCTTTCTCTTCTCTCTGTACTCCACTCCCTCCCCATTTTGTTATAAAACTGAGCATACTCTCAATAGATATGTCTGTTCTCAAGTAATGCACTGTCCACCTGGGGGAGGTGACACTGACCTCTCCCTCCCACAGACCACTTGAAGACTAAATCATCTGTCACAAAACTGTATTGCAGTCCAGCTGTACAACGTGGGAGACTCAGTACAAAGACAGCCAAGGTTTCAGGGACTTTTTACTTTTGCCAGCTGCAATCCTGTACAAGGTGTCTTCCTCCCCTTCCCAGTGCTGCTTGGTTTTTCCAGAACTGCAGATCTATCTAGCTATTATGTCACACTACACATATTTTCAGTTTTGTTTGTTTGTTGTTTTTTTTCTTGGTTGCATTGTTGGGTTTTGTTTGAGTGGCACAATACATGATTCGTATATCAATGCATTCAAGAATATGTGCCCTGTAATGCTTCAGAGCAACAATTCTCTCAAAATCAAAATTTGCTGCTGATAGTTAAAAGGCTTGGGCAAGAAGGCCTCTTGCACTGGGAACAGCATATACTCAAGGGAAAGGTACTGAAAGATGTGACACTTCCATTTATTCCTTCTCTCTGGAAACTGCTATATTCAGAGGCAAACAATTTTCTGTCCAGACTGCTAAAGCTATAGCTTTAATATGGATCCCAGCAGACATGCTGACCTAAACATTCTCATGAATATTCAGAATCTTCAAATCTGCCCCAAAAGCAGTCAGAACTACTTAACAAGCAGGAATTGCAGACCAGTTTCTCTGGCTGGATGTGCCTTTTAATTCCAGGCTAAACCAGTTTAAGCATAGCACTGGTGGCTATTTTGCTACCCTGTCCTCAAGACCAGGAGCAGTCCAAGTAGACAGAGTCACACATAAATGAGAAAATGGCCAAAGTGACACCCAAATCTGGACTACAGCTACTCTCTCATGGTTACAGACCTATGCAAAGAACATGAATGTTGACAGGAGACTGCATATATGAGGTCGCATAGACACAAGCATGGAAAAACAAAATGTTACATTTTGGATCTGTCTCAAAAGGAAAAACAACCCATAAAGCAAACACAATAAGCAAACACAATAAATCTTTCTCTTTTAATTTTTCTGTTACTTTTTTTCTTCCCCTTCTCTCTTTTCTTTTGTTGGATATATCTCTGCATAATGCAATGGATTCCTCAGAGAAAAGGATAAGACAGAAGCCTTCCTATATAGAATTTGACCACAAAAAATGTATCTTTCTCAGAAATCTCTTAACATTTTCCTACTAGGAAAACAGGAAATCTGACATGGAAATATCTATTTTTAATATGACGGAAAAATCTACCACAATAAGGAGGAATAAAAACAATCTCACATTGGTTGATTAGTTGTATTAATCATTTCAGCTGCATTTTAATTCAAATGTCTGTGCTCAAGACTGTATCAGGTGATGAGCTTGTGCTCCTATTACACATGTGATTAGTCAATAACCCTTGAAGAGTAATTTTCCACAAAGCTTCCAAGAAAAATAGCATATCCCATCAGGTTGCCTGTTAGTAAAAGGATCAGCCAAAATGGACATGGGACTTTTCATGCTGTGGGTGTTGGCATCTTCACTCCATGCATGCTGTGTATGTAGTAAGACTGATAAGTAACTAAGAGCTGAGACAAAATAATTTGTTGAAACTTTTAATGTTCATTGGACTGAGCAGAAGAGAACATGCAAGTGGGATTCTTGTGGTCCATGCAGCTGGTAATCAGAGCTCAGCCCCAGACCCAAGCATTAGCCCTATAAAATATCTAAAACTGATAAGAAGAAAACTCCATCCAAATCCTTCTCTCCTGTCTCAGTGTGTGAGCCCTTTATGCACAGTCACTTACTCCGAATTAATATCTGATTCTTCTATCAGACTTTAACAGAAGGAACTGGCACTGCATCATTCCAGAATATTCTGTATCCTGGCAACTAAAAGTATGAAGAATACAACCAGTCTTCTCTGATCCATGCAAATCGTAATGAAATTCAATCCACAACTTGAATCTTTTTTATTAAAGCTTAGATACCACTTACCTGTTTTTCATGTTTTGGTGTCATCTTCACTGGTTGGTAGTAAAAAAAAAAATCAACCTGAAAAAAACCAAAACAGAATAGACATCAGATTGGTATTTAGTAGTTATTTAAAGGTCATTATCACTTTGGCCTTTTATTAGTAGACAGTGGAAAAAGCCAGGTTTAGTGCCATATATGGCAGAAAACACATTGCATTACCTCTATCTCAGAATTTATTCATTTTTAAAATAATCCCTTTTTAGAAGCACTGGGCTAGTCCCCTTCTTTACATATTTGTCATACTTGACAGTCCAGTTCATCTCTGGAAGTCAGTGCTTTTCTTCTCTGCTCCAAGAGCCATCTCAGGGTTCATCCCTGCACCCACCTCCCAAGAGCTCCCAAGAGCTCAGCCAGCACTCCCAGTGCACAAACACAGCCAAGGCAGTGCTGCCTGTGCCTCATTCCCAGGTGCCCAAGAACAAGTCTGCAGGACTGCAGCTGAGGTCCAGAGACCCTAGAACATCTGAGTCAGAAGAATCAAATGCCCATCTCAACCATCTTCCTGAAAGTCAGAGAACTGGAGCTGCAAACTGCTTGGATCCTTCAGGAGAGCTAAAACTCAGGCTACATTTCACAGCATCTGTGTTTTCAAACCACCATGCAGAGGAGGGTATAATCAGACCAAATCAAAACATCCTGTCATTAACTTACACTTTAAATCCACTCTCTCACTGAAAATCCCAACAAAATTTTAACTGTGTCTGCAGTCCAATAAACTGGACAGTTTGCTGGGGACAGGTATCCACATGGGAAGAGCAGGACACCTTTATTTACTTGCCAGCTTATATACACACCACCTCCTGTTTAGTGACACAGAGCTTGAAGCTGCTCTTGTTATTATACAGCTACATATTTATGTCAAGCCCAGCCAAGGAGTGCTGAACAACCCACCCCTGCCCAATGCCTCTTACGAACACCTTCAAATTACAGGCTCCACCCATTTTAATAAAACTGGGCACAAAGATAAGCACACATACATTTCTTTGACCAGGAAATTATTCTGAAACAAACACTTTGTTGTCAAATTTCTATAGAGTCAGTCATATCAAAGTAGGATACTCTGTTTCCAAATAAAAATGACCATACATAAGACTTCGTCCTAAAGGGTGTCATTGTACAGTTCCCATCTCCATAAAGATAAGGCTATCATTTCACTTCTATAGCTAGAATGGTACTGAAAAAGTAGGAATATAAAAAACACACTCAAATACTCTTTTTTTTTAAAAAAAAACTCCATTTATATATGCTTAACTAGCATGTATGTTCCAAGCTGAAGTTAAAGAAGAGCACTCAAACACTTGCTGCACAGGCTCAGCAGCATCAAGCATCTCTGCAAGGTGGGGGTAAAAATTTGGCTCACTGGTACTAACTGCTGTTAATGCAAAAGTATAATAGAAACTTTCCTTTTAGGGAGATAATTGGCTTTTTACCTCACAGGAGAGCACAAACACACATCACAGATCTTTAATGGAATTGCACAATCATTTAAGTTGTCTCCAAGATTATCAAGTCCAACCTTAGTACCTTGTCCACTAGACCATGGCCCATGTATAGCTGTTTCCTGAACACTTCTGTGGTGACTCCACCACCACCCTGGACAGTCCATTCCAATGCTTAACAACCCTTTCTGTGAAGAAATTCTTCCTGAGGTCCAACCTGAACCTCCCTTGGTGCAGCTTGAGTCCATGTCCTCTTCCCCTGTCACTGGCTGCCTGGAGAACAAGATGGTCCCCAGGCAGCTACAGCCTCCTTTCAGGCTGTTGTAGAGAGCAGTAAGGCCTCCCCTGAGCCTCCTTTTCCCCAGGCTGAACACCCACAGCTCCCTGAGCTGCCCCTTGTAGGACTCAGTCTCCAGACCCTTCCCCAGCTCCGCTGCCCTTCCCTGGGCTGGCTCCAGCACCTCAATGTCCTTCACAAGTGAGGGTCACAGAACTGGACACAGGATTTGAGGTGCAGCCTCACAAGTGCTGAGTACAGACTAAAAAACCAACTATATTGGGCTTGGGCTGTTTGAAGAAGATTCTTTCTGCTATCTCTCCCCACTGAGTATAGCTGTAAACCTATATAGTTTGATGTAATTTCCCCCCCTTTCTGATCTGGTTGAATGTGCTGTGGTATTTTTTCAAACTGGCAATTCAAATTTTTTTTTCCAGTTATGTATCTTTAGTCCATCAAATTCTGCAGTGTGTTTCTCTCCTGCCTCTAAGCTGATTTAAGTGAGAAAATATGCAAGCCCAAAATATCTCATTCCTAACACTAGCGAATGACGAGGCTGAAATAGCATGTTTCATTTTGTCATGTTTTTCTAATGACTGAGTTATGTGTTGGTGTAGGTTAGCAAGAACACCTTAAATTCCAAACAACCACCACAACTTTAAATATTTAATGGCAAAAAATTAATATTTCAACACCAAAAAGCTTCCTAAAATATTTAAAATACATCTGTTTTTCATCAAGTAATTTGGAAAAAAAAATTAATAATGGAAACGCAAGCCCCCCAAAGCTGCCTTTTTTCACTGATTTCAGTGAGATTGCTCAGTCATGCTGCAGCCACTTGCAAATATACTGAATGCAATATTCTGTCTGGTAGCAAAATATATATTTGGGGCGTCTGTAACACACAGAGAAGCCAGTGAAGCAGAACGCACAGTGAAGCTAGTGAAACTTCTGCTTAAGAAGTTATCTTTGCATCTTGAGAAAAAACTACCCAAAATACCGGTGATGGAGAAAAACAGCCATCAGAAGACAAACAGAAGGCTTTTGGTCTTTTTACTCTAAGCAAAATTTCCTCTGACAGGGAAATGAACAAGTGCTGTGAAACGGAATCAAAAAAGCCAGTGGTCAGTCTACAGTTTTGATAAAACACTCTCTGTTGAGACTGGAAAACCCCCCACATTGCTTTGAGTAAGTTTTTGTTCTGTTTTTGATCCATTATCAGTCTGAAGACTTCTTTTTTCTTTTATTAGTTTCATATACTATATCAACTCCTTCTTGCAGTACGTATTTTTTATGGTTCTTAATTGCATAACCAACAAAACTGCCAGGGAACAGCTCCACAACTGCTAAAAACAGCCACTCAAAAGCAAAAAGATTACGTAGCATGAATTGCCATGCTTCCTGTGCCTGAAAAAAACCAGAAAGAAGAGGGAGGAAAAAACACATGTACTGCAGTACTTTTCTTAGGGAAAACAGATAAACTGCAGTGCTCTTCTTAACCGTAATAGGTAAATAATATCAAGTATTATATTTTATTTCCTATTTTAGAGAGTAGTTTCTATTTTAAAATCTAAATTAAAACAGGTAATCTAACATTACTGAGGATATACCCTTTTATCATGTAGATGGACTGCTCCTAAAGGAGGAAGTGATTTCTCCCCAGCATTCTCATACTGAAAGATGAAAACTCAAGCAGTAGTGCAGACAAAAACCACATCAACTTGCTCTGAGAACAGCATGAACAAATGCAAGCCCTCCTGGCTGCCTCACCAGTAGCTGTATTCAGCTGCACTGAAATTGTACTATTTCACTCATTACTGGGCAGTGGCCTATGCAATATCCTTACCTGCTCTGGGAGTGCTCATGCATTGGTCAGTGTTACTTCTCAAGAATAAATGCTGGTAGTCAGCTTATCCACGCATCCATCCATCCATCCATCCATCCATCCATCCATCCATCCATCCATCCATCCATCCATCCACCCATCCATCCATCCATCCACCTTTGCTTATTTCTAATCATATAACTAAATGACCACCTTCAGGCTTTAATGGGGAAGTGTGATTTAGTTTTAGACCTTGGTGATGATTGAAAGTACTATCCAGTCATAAGCAAAGTCCTCAGCTGTGCTTTCAAGGTTGCTCCCATTATCAGTACCAAATGAAACTTTAATTCAAGGCTTCAATATGACCAAGAAAGAGAGAAAACTGAATCTCTAAATGCTTACAAGTCTTTCCTGTGTTTTGTGCTTTGCTCACCTTAAGACTCAAAGTCATAATAATTTTCATTTACAGCCTGTAGAAAGTTCAGCTGCATTCATACATGGAGTCAAAGAACATGCCCATGTGCACCTGGCCACACTATGTTCCTGAAAGGCAAGTGATCTGTGTGGATTTGTAAGGAAAATACACTTTCAGGGGTGATGGTGGAACCAGGAGGAACAAGAATAATAATTAAGAGACGCTCTGGAGAGCTCAAAAAACCCCCAAACCTATAAAAACACACCATTTTATGTTGCCAAATTGACCACATCCTAACACAGCTTGGCATTTACAGCAATTGGATACATGGCTATCACAGAACTACTGCTCTTGTTGATGGAAAAAAATCTTATTCAAATGCTGCTCCTCAAGCAGGGACTTTCAGTTGATCCAGAATAACTCAAACTCAGCATAAGCAAATGCCTTCTACTTCATCTGTTCCACTTAACACCTGGGGTCAACCCAACTGTACTGATCAGACCCATGAGTTCACTTCTGTTCCTCACTGTCCATGAACCAGATGGTGAGGACTGAAACTCCAGACTGTGCAGGTCACAGAGCACATTTCCTCCTTTCATCTATCCTGATGGTTATTTGCCTCACCCTCAGCAAATTATTGAGGATACAAAAATATAAGGATCTGTTGGTCAGAAGTGAAAAGAGTATGAAAGACATGAGCATTTTCATCAAAACTCTACACAACAGTCAGGGGCCTGCAGCCTGCTTAGTGAAGTCAACAAAACAAAGTACCCTTTGAGCAAATCCTTCTCACTTCCCAGGATCAAGGTACCAGTTTCATCAGTGTTGTATCACAGTAGGAGTACAATCACTTCACTGCTGAGAAAAAAAAACAAGCACGCTGTCTAAACTGCTTTTAAAAGAATGAGAGCTTTCCAAACCAATGACTGAATTCATACACCTTCCTTTCCACCACAATGCAATGTAGAAAGGCACTGCCAAATATCATGCCCTTGTGGCTGCACTTGAAATTCCCAGGCACCGTTGCCAAGATGCTTAGTTAACTACTACTCCCTATGGAAT